CCCTCACCAATGGCTGGAGCTAAGCACTAGAACTCGCTGCTCGTTCCCCAGGCCAACTGCCTCCTATCGCAGCGCACCTGAAGCCTTCCCTTTTCTTCCCTGCAGAACCGTCCCAGTCCTTTGCCTGCTTTGAGTCTCTGCCAGAGCCCAAGCGCTGGGGACTGACTCCCCTGCTGAAGCAAGCTCGGAATGTATAACCCGTGCTTGTTCTTATTTCATTGGTCTTCATGCTCTTCTTGCATTTCCACAAGGTGCCTGAGTGTGTGTAACCGTTTGTATATGAGCCTGTGCATGTGGGAGGGAGCTGTGTGTTTGTGTACGTGGCTGAGTGTGTCTTAGTGTGTGTGTGTGAGTTTGAGAGTGTCAAGGTCGGGGCGTAAGGAGGAATATAGAGGGAGCCTGCGCTCCCCGTGAGATCTTGCCCCTTCTGGGTTTGCCCCCTCAGAGTCCCCATTTCAGGCCTGCTGGGTCGGGGCGAGGAGGAGGGAGGGCCGGAGGAGGTGACTGAGAGGCACTTCTTTTATACAGAGTTGACTGTAAAAGCCGACTCTTTTGTTAAGGTAATGGAGAGCCCCTAGACCCCTAGGTAAGGCGTTTGTCCTCCTGCCCTCTTGGGCGTGGCACGGCCTGGCCTCGGGCATTTCCTCGCATGGCCCGTATTCAGTACCTCCTCTCCTCTTTTCAGTGCGGAACTCAGTGGCAGGCGCCACGCTGAGGTCACCCTGCCTGGGTGCCCACCTTCACCCCAGAGGCTCCCGGTGCCTCAGGGTGGTGTCTGGGGCCTGACTTCATGCCCCATACCAGAATTTCATTTGAGGCCAGGCTACCACATGCCTAAATTAATGGTTGGTAAAATTAGAACAAACAGAGGTAAATAGCCCTTTATCTAGTACACAGTCTCTCTCTGATTGTAACTGCAGCAAAGAGATCAGTAAGGTGCTACAATTTTCTGATCAGTGATGGTGATTTTCTTCCCCTTAAGATCAGCTTACTCTACAGGCCTCAGAGAGCGCAGGAGTCAGAAGGAAATTACAGGGTTGTGCTGGGATTTCTCCCGGGCCTCTGTTTATTTTGCAAGTGGCTCTCACAGAGTGGCACTGCTCAGAAGCAGTGCTCGGCACTCCTGTAGAAATCTGGAGGGACTGTCCCTGCTCATGCCATGGGGCTCCCTGGAAGACTGCAGACTACGGTCTGTGGTCCAGCCATGGACCTGACTCCGCAAAGCCTCCAGCAAGCTGTCATTTTACAATTGAAGAAACCAAGGCTGACACCTTGCCTTTGCCAAACACATGCCCCAGCCCTGCGGTCTGGCAATGGCTCGGATAAGGCGAAAATGGCAAACCGAAGTGAGCTCCGGGGCCCTGGACCTTCTGTTGCACATGTGTCGCGGAGGGAGATGTGCTGCTCCGGGAATAACTGCCTGCCCAACTCGGTGCTGGATGGTCTCAGAGCCAGTGGTCTGTTCACTTGCCCTGCACAAGTTTAATAGTTCTCTCCTTGTTTTCCAGTCAATCACCCAGTTTTGAATTCCCGTTTTCCTCTGCTATCTATTTTGTACTGTCGTCCACAGTGCAGAAGTGTATTTTATTAGGAGCTGGCCTATGGCAGTTTAAAACATTAAAATGCCTACTCTAAATTCATTAACAAACTGATCATTACATGAATCACCAACTTATTTCTTGTGGATAAGAACTGAGATAAACAGTGACTAATGACATTGAAGAGTAGCCATACACTAAACAAAAAATTAATGGCTATGCCAGGGAGTGAGGAATGCCAGTCACCTTGAGTGTTTACACCAACCAGATCCCTGAAGATGGAACCTCCCAGAAAGTGGTGACTCATGGGGACCTGCAGACAAGGGGTTAGAGAGGATGTGGGTGACTGACACCCCTCTTTATCTGTCCGTCTCTTTTGGCACCACCACAGGCATGATGATGAAGTTTCATTTTGTAGCGTTAGGATGTAAGCCCAAGCCTAGGAGAGGACTTCAGTTGGAACCCCAAAACTATTGCACTTCATCTCCCTGGCATACTGGTCTAAACAGACACCTCCTTCCTGAATTGTTTCGACTGGGTAGGATTCCTCCCTGTCATTTAAAATTCAATTCAGTCCTATTTTGTTTGTTGTTACCAACTTTGGAGAAATTTATTGTCATGTAAGAAGGAAGAAAGGTAAAATGTAGATTCCCCAACCCCCAGAGCATATTCTCTTTCAGAAATGGACCCCTTAAAAGATAATTTCTATAAGACCCAGCAAGCGAGAGAGCTGTTTGGTATTTTCTCACAGGAGTTGAAAACGTTATGTCCATATGAATACCTGCACACAGATGTTCACAAGCAGCTTTAATCAGAATTGCCAAAACCCGAAACCTGCCAAGATGTCCTTCAGTAGATGAAGGGGGGAATATAAACTGTGGTGCATCAGACAATGGAATATTATTCAGTGCTAAAAAGAAATGAGCTATCAAGCCATGAAAACACATGGAGGAACATTAAATACATATAATGAAGTGAAAGAAACCAGTTGGAAAAGGCTATATACTCTGGGGTTTTAACTATTCACCTTTCTGGAAACGGCAAAACTATGGAGACAGTAAAAAGATCAGTGGTTTCCAGGGGCCGGGGGTGGGAGAAAGATGACTAGGTGGAGCACTGAGGATTTTGAGGGCAGTGAAATGGCTGTAAGATACTTCACAGTAGATGCTACTATACATTTGGCTAAACCCATAGAATGTGTGCCACAAGAGAGCACATGAATGAATGTAAACGATGGGCTCTGGGTGATTATATGTCAGTGTAGGTCCACCTGTTCTAACAAATGTACTGTTCTGTGGACGGTGTTGATAATGGGGGAAGCTGTGTATGTAGGGGGACAGGTTCATATGGGACATCTCTATACCTTCCTCTTAATTTTACTGTAAGCCAAAAACTGCTCTAAAAATTTAAGTCTTTATAAAGAAACAAAAAGCAAAACAAACAAAAGCAAAAGTGAACAATTAAAATAATTTCTCTCTGGGAAAGCAGAGCACATGTTCAGGCGTGTGGGTAGCATTGTCCTTTACTTCCCTGTGAGCTGCAGAGTGAGGTGGCATTCAGGGCCCAGCAAGGAGGATGGGCATGGCTGGAGAGAAATGGCCTGGCTATTTTCAGATGGTACAGGTGTCCCTAATTTCTGGGTCTGCATTATCCAACACAGCAGCTACTAGTCATCTGGAGTTACTTAAATTTAAATTAATAGAACAAAAACAAAAAGTTCAGTTTGTACTAGCCTCAACTCAAGTGCTCACTAGCCTATGTGGCTCATGGCATTGTACTGAACAGTGCAGATTGAGAACATTTCCGTCATCTCAGAAAGTTCCACGGGATAGCACTGTTCTAGACTCTAGGAAGCCCCAGAGACTCACCTGGGCTTGACTAAAATCACAAATCAACACTGTGGTCTAGGACCCCCTGTCCCAGATCCTGAATGACATCTGAGCAAGAACACTGGGAAATGGTCTACAGGGATCGTTTCAAAGACGGAGACCCGGAGCAGGGCAGGGACTGACAAGGGCTTGAGAGGCGTGCTGACTGAATCAGTGCTTGAAGAGCAACTTCTCTCTTGCAATTCTTGCTGGTCTGACAGGCTCCTGCAGAATTACATCACTTCCTAAAAAACAGGCAAACACCTCTCCTTCAAGTTAACACCGACCCAAACAAGCAGGAAACAGGAAATGTTCAGGTTTCAGGGAGGCTGAAGCCTAGCGCAGCATCATGCCGGCGGAGCAAGAACCGAGGCCAGCGGACATGAAGGCTCCCCGCGCGGCCCCTGTCTTTGCCCTGCTGATAATTGCGCTCCTTCACACTGGCCAGGCTCAAGGTAAGCTCCCTCCAGGCTTCCCACCCCAGGGTAGGAGGATAATGAAGGCTTGTTTGGTGCCCGAGGCTGCAGAACTCTGCCCGGGCGGGTAACACCCAGGAGTTCTAATCCTTTCCGTGAAAGAAGTGGAGAAATTAGAAGTGTCTTTTCTGGGAGCTGGAGATGGGAGGGGGACTTGGCTTTCCCTGCAGCTGGCTAATCGCGCTCCAGCTTGCTGGCTTCATTTAACCTCCTGCAATCGTTGTCTTCTAAGATGTGTGGGTCCCTGTAATTTACCAACTTTAATGGCATATTAAGAAAACCATAAACACTTTGGCAGTTGGTGTAAAAGAAC